TTGAAGGCTAGAAGTGAATTTTTTCTCCTTCCCTGATACACACACACACACACACACACACACACACACACACACACGCAGAGTGTCACAGAACTTGGTCACATAGTGACCCCTCCGTCATTAACCTGTTGTTATTCACTGCCTCCCAGGACTGGTTGCCAACACAATCCACTGGAAAGAGTATTGGCTTTGGTCTCACACAGGTCTTTGTTTGAATCCTGGAGGCTCAGCCACTTCTTTTATTGTGTGACCTTGGGCCAGTTGCTTGACATCTTCATTTGTATGTGGAGAATATTATGTGGCCCTTAGTAGGAGTGTGACATTAAATGACAACCAGTCAAGACGGTGATTGTTGTCATTTCTGAAAGCTGGCAAGATCAGATAGTCCACAGAACCCAGGGCCGAGTTTCTCTTCTCTTCCCTTTTAATTTAGTCATCTCCTCCAACCCATCTGCCTTCTTCTGTTTTGTCTTCCTTGGGTCTTTCCTGTCACCAGTTTATAGGCTTGCCTGCCTCCCTCCCTCCCTCCCTCCAGGCTGACTTTCATGTCTCCCCTCTGAGCTCTGCTGCTGGCTCACAGGGAAGGGGCTGTCAGTGCCTTGTGCCATCAGTCAATAAAGATAAATTACAAAATCTTTTGTTTTATTTGTTCTTGTTACCTTTAGGGCTATCTGAAATTGCCTTTCTTTTGAAAGCCACATTTGCATATCTCTATGCTGGAGTCAAAGGCTGCAGCTGTAGTTTCACTGCAATTTAAATATTAATAAAAACCTCCTAAACCTCTAGCTGTGTGTGTTTTTTAAAAGCAGTTTGGCCCTTCTGCTCCTAGGTTGCTAATATAATTTAATCTTTGTCCTTTGCTTTGTATTTGCTTAAAGGACCATTTTAGAATTAACTGAAGCCAGCTGCTGCACCCCAGTAGATAAGAACCACTTACCAACCCACAAAACTTACTTTTCCTTAACGGACCAGAGAGCCACCTCTTCTGGAGACAAAAGAATAGACCACAGGTAACCAATCAGAACACCAAACCAGTGGTTCTCCAGTATGCATCAGAATCACAGATGCTAGGGCCCCACACCTGAAAAGGAGTCCTGGTGTGGACTGATAACTGCAAGGTCAGCAGTTCAAACCCACCAGCTGCTCCTTGGAAACCCTATGCAGGATTGCTATGTGTCAGAACGGACTTGAAGGCATTAACAACCACCACCACTAAGTTCCCAGGTGATGCTGTTACCCTTGGCAAGGGTACATGCTTGAACCAGGACATTCAGCCAAGTATTAAGCTGCTTCATCATTCTAGGTCCCTGTAACGAGGCCTCCACAGTTCTGGGTCCCCAGGCACCATAATGTGGGGATGGGGATAGAGTCACTTCAGTTCTCTTGATTCCTTCTGGCCTCTCAAATCACTTAGATTTTTCTGATCATGCAGACTTATTTCGGGATCAGCTCCATCTATACCTCCCATTCCCTGCTCGCTGCAGGAGCTGGCTGTCTCCAGTTCTCCTTAATTTTCTATTTGCTCAGATTCATTTCTTTAATTTTCTATTGTCGTGGGAAGATTTACAGGCTGTGTGAGGCCTTGTGGTGCTAAGCCTCGAAGTACAGTGAAGGGGTCCTCTGGCACAGCCATTTTACAGCACCCCCGTTCTCCCTCAGCAGGCCCCTTTCTCACTGGGTTTCTTTGGGCAGACCTGCAGTTCCCCTCACCCTGCTCCTCTCTCTGCACTGCCTTCCTCTGAGGCTGCCCTTATCTGCTCCACGCAGCCTTCACAGGATACATTCTGGGCAGCTTGGCTCCTTCCGCTCCAACCACCCCAACACTGATTCCTTTCTTTCTCTCCGCCGTGTTTTTGAGGCGATACTTTGTTGATGATTCTGGTAGCTTTTTTTTTTTAAGGAGAGATAATCTGCCTGAGCTCTTCTCTAGGTCCCCTCCCTTTGCCTGCAGGATGATAATCCTTCCTCTCTCTCTTCCTTTCCAGAAGTTCATTTTGTGAAATGCGATAAGTCAGTACCGGAACTCGTTTCCAAGTGCTGCTGTACCCAGAGAGAGCTCAAGATTGTGTGCTGGGAAAGTGGGAGGACGTCTTAAAGCCAGAGGTCAAGGGAACAAGTAGATTTACTCCAACATCAGATAGGACTGTTACACAAGCCAGACGTGTGAGGCTAGGGCCGGAAGCTGACTTCCAGAAAAGCTATGCAGTCTAAAACAAGTGGGGTATGCTTTTGATGAAGACTCTAAAGGACCATGACAGAAGCCTTTCTAATGGGTTGTAGTCATCTCTGCTTGTACCCAGGATTCCTGGAAAAGCAGGCTCTACTAGGGGGAGGTTGCTTTTTCTGTTAACTCATTAGTGACAGGGACAGCAGGTTGAAGCCTGGCTTGCCCTCAGGCCTCAGTATTTCTGCTGCTTCCTGTGTGGCTTTATGGCTACTGCTGTACATGTCCTCTAGAGAAGACATGCTGTCTGAGGCTGAACCGGAAGGCTTTGATAAATGGAAGATCCATAGGCATATAAGCTGAGAGGCTAGATGTACATAGAAATGGAAATAGCCATGACTGGATTGGTTTTCCCATGACACGGGGTTGTTCATGCAGGCAGAGCTTGAGAAGCCAGAACCCTCTACTGCCATCTACCAGAGTTTATGAAGAGGAAGTGAGGTTCTCTTCACAGCCAACATCTCTCCCAAAATTTCCTGGAGGCTTGAACTGATGCTTCTGTCCTGGCTTAGTCACTGATGCCGACGGAAAGCTGAATATTAAGATGGAACCTGTCTTTTGACAGGTTCCAATCTCTTAAAGGAATCTGATCCTCAGTTCATATTTTTCAAATGAGGTGGCCAATACCCACTTGCTAGGGCCATGAAGACTAAATGTTGTCAGGTGGCTCCATTTTCTCTACTTTCCTTGCCCTCCGACAAATAAATATATTGTTGTTGTTGTTATGTGCCATGGAGTCGGTTCCGACTCATAGTGACCCTGTACAGAGTTTCCGAGGCTGTAAATCTTAATTGGAGCAGAAAGCCTCATCTTTCTCCTACGGAACAGCTGGTAGTTTTGAACTGCTGACCTTGTGGTTTGCAGCCCGATTCGTAACCTCTACACTACCAGAGCTCCTTATGGCAGGACTGAATTGTGTGATGATTTTATTCTTTGCCTTAAAGAGAATTCTAATCTCAGGACAATGTGAGGACCAGGAAATGATACAGAATGTTATCAGTGGATTAAGAACGCTAAATAGGAGTGGTAGGCAAAATTATTCTCTAGAATCCTGTCATCTCAGTTGCTCAATCAAACACTAATGTAAGTATTGCTGTAAAGAGTCTTTGCAGCTGTACTTGTAATTAGGATTATGGACCCTGAGATGGGGAGATTATCCTGGATTCTTCAGTGGGCCCAATCTAGATACAGACACATTCCTCTGGTGGGAGTTAGAGATGCAGCAATCAGAGATTCAAAATGTGAGAAAGAATTGCTGACTTTGAAGATGGACATAAGGTGGCCATGAGTCAAGATACATGGATGGCCTCTAGAAGCCAAGAATCACCTCAGCTAAGAGCCAACAAAGAAATGGGGAGTTCAGTCCTACATCTGCAAGGAACTGAATCTGGCTAACCACCCGAATAAGCCTGGAAGCAAGTTCATTCTCAGTGCTTCTAGAAAGGAACACAGGCCTGCTGAGAAATGCAGAACAAAGAAACCAGCCAAGCCGACTTGGACTTCTGGCCTAGACTGTGAGACAATAAATGGGTGCTTTTTTTTAAGCCACTGGATATGACAATTTGTTATTAAGCAATAGAAACCTAATACATTTTAAGCTGCCGCAATAATTCTGGGAAGTAGGTACTACTATTATTATCCCCATTCTACAGATGAGGAGACTGAAGCACAGTGAAAAGGCTCTAAAAATCTGCAGGTATAAGTCATAAGAACAGAGCTGCTCAGTGGAGGCGTTTGCTGCCAAGTTTATTTGCAGGTGAACAAAATATTTACAAAACATATTTTGTACAATCAAGTCTGTACTGCCCTCACACTGGGGGGGCTAGGGAAGACCTACTCCTTCCAACAGCTATAAACGGTCTTGGATAATGAGTTTATGAAAAACACTTTCTCTTCTTTCAGCAAGCAAAATTATTTATGAAGCTGTACGGTTCAGCAATAGGGAGCGAAGGGAAAAAAAAAATTACCTCCAGGAAAGCAACTGTTCCATTCCTGGTGGGATCCATCATTTTACAGACATGAAATATTCATATCAGAGCTGTTATATTTTTAAAAGGAATGGCTACACATCAGAGTAAAAACAACAAAACACTTTATTTATCACCAACAGGGAATTAGAAGACTATCTTTGTGGACACATGTTCTTGAGAGGATTCTCCTGTCTCAGAGTGCATCAGGGCTAAGAGATTCTTTCAAATTCCAGCAACTTGAGCCCAAATGTTTGGACAGGACGAGCATGACTCCCAACCCTATCATTAACCCTCAAGCTTCATATTCACATCCACTGCCTGTCTCTGAGCTCTATCCCCAAGGTTCCACTCTGACATCTAAGAGCTGCCGAGAACAGCTCTTGTTATTAAGCAATCTTCTGATTGAAGTCACGTCACAGACTCCGCTACTCTCCTCCCACTGAGGGTCTGACTCTTGGCCTCTACACACACAGGTTTGAGAGAAATAAACGAGGAACCCAGCTATATTCTCTAGAGGCCCAGCCACTGTGTTTCCAAGCCCTAAACCAACTATGTTTCCCTATAGCCCTAGTATTGATAAATCAAGCCCTAGGATTGATAAATAATGAATCAGCATCTTGCTCAACTGGTGGGGTTTAAATGGTTTAAAATCTTTTCAGGTGAAAAATTACCACAATTTTGTGTTCGAGGTAGATTTCAAAGGGAGATTTGAAGCAGAAAATCTTGAAGGGACTCTCACATATCCCAAAGGTCTCTAAGTACATAAAACAGTCACAAGAATTCTGATGCCCTAAAGAGTACGAAGCTCCCAGGGCCTGGCTGGAATCAGTAGTAGCCATGGGGGATCTGGGGGATCAGGTAGGTGTCCAGCTCCTGGCGTTGGTAAAGAGCGACACTGTCCAATACCCACTCTCGGGTCACCACAGGTGCACCACTCAGCTGTCCAATTGCTGGGGACAGAGAACACAAGCTTGAGATTAGAGTCAGTTCATTCTCCTAGGCCAGACTCATCAATCTACTCCAGGAATGGGGCTGTGTGAGGTGTTGGGGTTAATCAGGGCCCAGCAGAATTGCTGTGCTTAAAGCAATACTTCAGGAAATAGGACGTGACTTAGAAGCTGGTGAAAGCCTCACAGACTGACAACTTTATTAACACGAGCTTCAATCTGTTAAAGTGAAAACCACCAGAGAAAGCAAAACAGCATTGCAATTTAATGATGTGGAAAAACGTTTGCAGTATCTTAAACGAAAAGGCAAAACCACATGAAGAGGATGATTCCATTTGTATAAAATACATGCATGTATATATAAACAGATCTACATATACACACATCCCTGGAGAGATTTTAAGGTAACTCATCTCCAAGTGGTGGGATTGCAGGGATTTATTGTTTTTGTGATGATGATAAACATTTACAGTTAACCTTCCTTGCCACAATGGAAATATCTCATGCATTACTTTTATAATACAAAACAAACAAAAAGTTCAGAAGAGACATTTTAGCATTCATTCAACAAATATTTACTGCCATCTAGAATGAGTGGGAACTATGTTAATTAAGCACTGGGTAACTTGGTAAAGTATACCAGTCTAACAGGACCCGATATGGCATGTGCATGTAAGCACCTTACCATGAAAGCCACCATCCTCTGCCCAGGCATCTGGCTGCACGACCACAATCGGGTGAGTAACCTGCACTCCCAGGGAAGAAACGCACAGGTGGTTGTTTCAGTTTTAGAATAGTCACGTCAACATATTTTCTAAATTTTACTCTGTTGTTGTTAATATATACATCAAAACCTGTACAAAGTCCACAGATTCTACATACACACTTTGGTGACATCGATCACATTCTTCGAGTTGTGCCCTTATTAACATAAGCACACTTTATTATTAGGTTTCCATCAATATAAGAAATTGCTGTTCTCAACTGGATCCTAAAAGAGCATAATGCTTAAGGCAGACCTTAATTTTTTTTTAACTACTTAAGATAAACTATTATCTGGTTTTAAGGTGACTTCTGGGGATCTTTTTGTTTAAGGGTTAAAGATTACTTCAGGGCAATAGTTTCAGGTGTTCATCCAATCTTCATGACTACAGAAAGACTAGAGTCCATGAAAATTTGAAATTCTGTTCTATAATTTCCCTCTTTTGATCAGAATTCTTTTATGGAATCTTTGACCAAAATGTTCAGTAATGACAGCGGTTCACTGTAGTCCAGTGCTTATCCTACAGTCACTGCACTCCCATATACATGAGGGGACTTCAAAAAGTTTGTGGAAAATTCCATTATCTTCCAATTTTCCCACAAACTTTTTGAAGCCCTCATTATACTTGGTTATTAGATTTTGGTCAGATATATGGTTTCCAAAGATATTCTCCCCATTGATAGCTTGTATTTTCACTTTTTGGGCAAAGTCTTTTAATGAACAAAGTTTAAATGTTCAATTTTGTCTTCTGCTGTTTGTGCTTATGTGCCTATCATTATACCAGTACCAGGCTGTTTTGATTACTATAGCTCTATGGTATATTTTAAAATCAGAAGTATGATTTCTTCTACTTTGATCTTCTCTTTCAATATTGTTTAGGCTATTCAGGGCCTCTTGACATTCCACATATAGTGGAGGACTGGAATTTGGATTGGAATTGTGCTGAATCTAGAGATCACTTTGGGTAGTACTAATATCTTAATAATATAAAGTGAAACATCTTTGTTAATGAAACATTAATAAAACATTTTCCACTTATTTAAATTTTTTCACTTCTCTAGGAAATACTTTATAGTTTTCATTCTTTAAGTCCTTCATGTCCGCGGTTAGATTTATTCCTAGGTATTTTATTCTCTTGCAGTCCTGGTGCAGCGCTGCAGGATAAGTTATTTGACTGTGAGGTTGGTGGTTCAAACTTACCAGCTGCTCCTCAGAAACTCTAAAGGGTTGTTATGTGTCAGAACCGACTTATCAGCACTCACAATTTTGTTCTCTTAGGTGCTATTATGGAGTCCTGGTGTGGTGCTGTGGGTTAATGCGCTGGATCGCAAGGTCAGTTTGAACTGCAAGGTCGGTGATTCAAGCTCACCAGTTGCTACTTGGAAACCCTATACAGGCTCACTATGGGTCGGAACCGACTCGACGGCACTTAACAACAACAGGTGCTATTATAAATGCAATTGTTTCCCTAATTTCTGTTTCAGATTTAGCACTGCAGGTCTATAGAAACCCAAATGAGTTTTATTTGTTGACCTTGTACCCTACAACTTTGCTAAATTATTCTATTAGCTCTAGAAGTTTTCTTGTGAACACTTTGGGACTTCATCATTTTTTGATGGTGTGTTGAAGTAGACTACTTTGGGGCAGCTATCTTACAAAGGTGAGGTACGGTGAGAGGGAAAGAGCCTTCTCCTTTCCTCAGTATATGATATACTTGTAGCTCCCAATTCCTTAGTTATTCCACAGATGGAATCTTCTGGCTCAGGTACATGGTTAGAGAGGCTTGGGGTAAAGGGGGGCTTTGGAGGTTACATTAGGGAGGGGGGTCACAGGAACTGACAGGTGCCAGTCCTGTTCAATCATAGGACAGAACATTGTGTCCTTCCTTTTAACAGGGCATCAAACACTTACCGTGCGGAGAGAGGACGATGATAGCTCTTTCACAACAGAAGCCCCGCACAGCTGTAGCATCCATTCCAAGTGATCTAAACAGGGCATTTAGACCTACAATTACCACAGCAATCGACATACTTAACCTGCATCCTGTACCCCATAGTCCTCTGGATGAAGGCTTACACAAGACTTCTCAGTGGCAGAGTCCCCAACTCTTCTGCTCCAGAGGAACAGAAGGGCCTTAGAGTAGAATCTCTACTAGGCATATAGGTTCTAAGTCAATTCGCTACTGAAAGGTCACCTCCTCTGCCTATCAGTTCCCCATTAGGCCTCCTGGTAGAGCACATTTAATAAGCTCTCGTATCCAAGATCGGATTGTCATTTGCTAAACACCGGCCTCCTTCCCCTCCCTCCTAACTGTGCTGGTAATTGACAATCGCGGCCACTGAGAGCAGCACACTTGGTGGTAATTACTGTAAATGTCAGAAGACAGGGAGGTAACTCATCCAGTCAAACAAATAACCGTCATCCTGGACAGACTCAGCACCTTGGTGGGGAAAGGCTGTATGCTGAGCTCACTCGGGGAATAGAAGTCAGCAGACATGTACAACAGCAGAACTGACCAGTGGACCTCTGGGTGTGTGTGTGTGTCAAGCCAGCCATGAACGTTGCTCTTTTCCATAAGCCCATTTCGGGATTGCTGAGGAGCTCCTGTCTGTCCTAATGAGTAAGACCTGCTGATTCTCCCTGAAAACAATCCCTGCCAGCAACCCTGGTTTCCACTGATGGAAGCACAAACGCACCGAGAAGTCCTGGAGTGGCACTTAGAAATTTCATAAAACGCCAATCAATAGCCAATAAAGAAGACAGAAGCAAAATTACTTTGCCAGGCTCTCCGGCCACTGCTCAGCTGCCCCTGACCAGAATGTGAAGGCCTTTCTCTGAGGAGTAAGACGACCTGTGTCCCTGAGGTAGAGGTGGGTGCACAGGAGGCAAAGGTGGGTAGCCTTTCTTTTGAAGTGAACCATCCAAATCTATACACACACCAGGGCCTCAGTGCTGCACAACTCCGGAGCTGAGCCCCACAGCAGTCCTAAACATAACATTACATTCAGTGTCAAATTTAATTAGAAAATGTTCATTAAGAGTCTTGCCCTGCTCTGGGCCTGTGTGGGGCCCAGGCCCACAGGGCTTGTGCAGCAGCTCTGCTTCCTTCTCTGTATCCAATGCAGAAGGTTCAGGGAGAGCAGAGCTCTTTCTTGATGTTTACAAGACCAACACTATCTTCTTCCTAATTTATTAGTTCCCTCTTCTCTGACAAATGGATAGTAACAGTACTCTACCCCATCTGAACAAAGAACATAACATGTCTTAGATCCTACCTCTTTGATGCCTGCTGACTTGTTTTTTTAAATAAACTGAATTGAGTGAGGGTTTACAGACAAGATCATTAGTTTTACATTCAATAAATCATATACTGTTTCATCTCAATGATTACAATCCCCTCCATGCAACAACAGTTGTCTCGCTTCTGCTGACTTGTTTTTGAGAAAAGATACAAGGTCTAGCTTTTTGCCACAGGATAAAATTTAGGTATAGTTTTGTCTGGAGGGTGATAGAAAGAAAGAATAACCTTTAGCACATCTCACCCTATCTGTGGGATCCTTCTAAGATCCAAAGCAAGGCAAGGTGATCTCTTCTACGAGTATAACTTTCCTCTATGTGATAGAAAAGGATCCCTGATAGTGTGGTAGTTTATGCATTGGGCTACTTTTAAATCTACCAGCTGCTGTGTGGGAGAAAGATGAGTTTTTGGACTCCTGGTCTGGTGCTATAGGATCAGCACTGGACTGTGAACCACAGGTCAGCGGTTCAAACCTACCAGCTGCTCCTCAGAAACCCTATACAGGGTCACTATGAGTCAGCTGACTCGATGACACTTAACAACAACAACTATGGGATAGAAAGGCTGGTGCTTGGTGTCTGCAGTCATCTCTTACCTGTAGGCATGTTGGTAAAAGGTCCATAGCAACAGATTTCTAGACCCTCAAAGATCTGGGAGGAGAGAGGAAAAACAGAGGCTCTCAGAAAGTAAGACTTTACCACTTGACGAATTTTACTGCTTAATGTCTAGAACACGGAGGGACACCAGATGTTCTTACTACAAAGCATTCAGGGCTTCAGCATCTCAACCTGTCCCTAATCAGACCCAGGCTCCTTTTTGATGACCCATACAGGTGATTTCACTTCTTGCTAGAGCTGAGATGGGGAATAAATTTGGTTTTTCTTCATGTGTAAGAAAAGGCTTGACTGGCAAGACAACATTTAAAGTAACTAGCTGTAAAGTGCGAGGTCTATCCAGATTTGGTATATCAATACTAACATAACTCCAACCAGCAAAGGCCCACCTTTATTTTATGCATGTATGCACCTTTTCTCCTCTGTCTTCTGGTTCCTAAATAAATGTTTGTTTCTCTCTTCACACTGCTGCGAGAACAATCAAAAAGCTACAAGTGAAGCCTGGTTGTGTCTCTCTTAGTTAAGCGGGTCTGACTGTCTGGCCAGAGGCCATAGACAGCGCTGACCTCCTAGGGGCCGCTTCCATTCACGGTATTCCACAGTGCTAGCGCTCTGTGATGATGGAGAGATAGGGGCACTCCCACAGTAACCGTAAGTCACATGTGACTGGTGAACTTGAAATGAGGCTAGGGTAACTAAGGAATGGAATTTCTTATTTATCTTACTTAAACATTTAAACCTTTGGGCATCAGTTAAAGAAACCCAAATTTGTGTAAGTTGGGTAGCTTATTTAACATTTTTTTCATGTATCATTTTGTAACCCTTATTCTCTTGACCCCCCTTCCTCCTCATGCCACTAAAAACTGTAAAACTGTCTCGCCTAGAATCTCAGGCCTCAAGTAACAGAGGCCAGGATAGAGATCACTAAGCTAAAACTATGAATAGATTTCTAGGAAATGAGCCCTGTCCCATTCCACACACACATTTCAACTACAGTCAGAAGAACCAGAAAGGGACAGCAGGACAAGTCTGCTTTTGTGTTGAGACAAACTCCCTGTGTGTCACCCTCACTATCTGTGTAAGTAAATGGCTTCCCCAAATTGTTAACAGGACTGTGCGCCGGCAGCTAGTGGGAGCCCCAATACTGCCATGAAAAGTACAAAAGATTAGGAACCGCCACATCCAGACGGACTCCCACTGATGAGGACGTCTAGTTATGAGGTAAGAAATGTGAAGTTTCTCCACAGGAAAACGCAGTGGTGACATCTGGTTCCTTCAGAAGATCATTAGACTAACCAGGCACTTTCTGTCTCGGCTGCCCTGAATGCAGGAAAGGACCCAGAGCCAGGGACATCCCTTTAAGGAGGGGAATCTGGTGCTCATTCTGCCCTGCATACAGTGGAGCAAAACAAATGTTTGGCTCACAGGGTACTCCCCTGGGGTAAGGGCAGAAGTAGAAATAGGACCGGCAGCTTGGCCTGGAATCTAGACTAGTTACTTGATAGGTGCAGAGGGTGAGCGGGCTGACCCTCCAGGGTTCTGAGCTTCAGGGCTTAATTTGTGATCATCTCTCAATACAGTTTTTGTTAGAAAATCATCTCTACTAGTTTCCTCTCAAGTTTCTCCACAGGAGCAGAAGGTGCCCGCATGGGGATGTTCTGAAAGGCCCAGTGGTGCACTTAGAAAGGATGGCGTGCCACTCTGGAGCAGGAGAACCCAGGGCCCTGAGACACAGTAGCGGCTGGGCCTGACAGGCAGGTAGACGATCCTGCCAGGACTGCTCCCTGAGAGGGCACGTCCAGCTACGTTATCTGCTGCAGTCTGAGCTAGGCACAACCACTGAGTCTTCCAGGGCCTCTAGCCCTTCATTTACAAAGTTGTAAGAATAATCTGTTATTGTTTTTCTCTGTGAGGCCTTTAGTAACTTTCCAAAAACCTGTGTTATTGTCATTAAGAGCTCAGAGTCTGGAGTCAGACTGCTGCTAGCAGTGTGACCTTATTCACCCTCGGAGCCTCAATCTCCTCATCTGTAAAATTGTCACAGTAGTACAAGCGTGGTATAAAATCAGTTAAAATACAGTTGAGTGCTTAGAGCAGTCCTGACACAAGAGTTAACATTATATAAATGTTAGCTACTGTTAATTATGCAGTCCTAGTGTGGCACTGTACAATAAGCACTGGATGGCTAACCACAAGGTTGGCAGTTCAAATCCACCAGCTGCTTCTTGGAAACCCTATATAGACAGGGTTGCTGAGTTGGAACTGACTCCACAGCACTTAACAACTGTTGATTATTAATCACCTTCTCTTCACTGCTTCCTGAGATAGCACTGAGAACTCGGCACACTGCTTTAAGCAAAGACACCACAGCGAACTAGAAAGAGCAAGGCTTTAGATACAAATCTCAGTTCTGCCACTTACTGGCTGAGATTTGAACCCCAGGCTGGACTCCAAATTACACAGCCTCTTTGTAAGCTTCAGTTTCATCGTTCCTAAGATGGAGCTGATACTGATTGACTTTGCTGGGCTAGGAGAACTAACCAGAACTGGGGTGAGAGCAGCTAATTAGTGCCTTTGTAGGCAGGGGTTGGGAGGCTTTACCTTTCCGTCCTGGAGTTCTCTTGCTCGCTTTGGACCTTGGTGGTTTCTTCCATTGACAACATCTCCTCTGACTTCAAAATCACACTAAAAGAAACCAAGCCCCAGATCACAGGAATCAGAGAAAGAGAACCCACTTCAATGGAAGTGGTACATATTTAAAAACAAAACAACGATGACAGAACACCAGGTTTACTAGTCAGAAAGAGACTGGAGGAAACTGAGACTATGGCCCTGGATCACTCTTTAGTCCTGGAAGGAAACTCACCCTTGTGGCCCAATTTTCTGTAGACAGTATATAGGGGGAGACAACAACACTAGTACGGTATGCTCACCATTCACAATCAAAAGGGCAGTATTTTCCTAAGGACAAAGTTGAGAAGGGATGGGAAGGAGGGGGGAATGGGAACAGGAACCCCAGGGAGGAAGCAGGAGAACTGCTGTTGCAGGGAGGGGATTGCAATCATTGAGATGAAACAGTGTGTAATTTGTTGAATGTAAAGCTGATGATCTTGTCTGTAAACCTTCACCTAATTCATAATAAAAAGTTTAAGAAACAAATAGACGTGTCATATTTAAAGGAATTCAGAATCACTAGGCAGAGTCTTGACCAAAAAGAAAAATCTTGATAGCAGACTGGATGAAATGACCAGCATCTTAGTTGCAGGAATCAGTTCACTGAAGCAAATCTTTGTGGGCAGAAATAACAATGGACTTTTCACCTCATCTGGACTTAAAGTATTTTAATTTTCAATATTTATCACCTCTCAAAACATTCACTTAGCATTTAGATGAAACTGCTAACATGGAGCTGGTTTTATGATAACTGGAGAATTCCTGATCTCTTAAATCAATTGTGGATTACATCTGAAGAAGTAAGGGCTTTCCAGATTTCACTTGGGAGATTAATACAGTAAGTGAAACCAAAATAACAAAATAGACATTTAATACACTGAAAAAAGTTATAGGCTTTTTTCAAAATCATTAGTTATGGTCAAAGGTGAGAGAGTAAAGAATAATAGGATTGGGAGGTTAAAGTTCTGGAGAAATTTGGGGGAAGGATGCTTAGATCCACTTCTGACTAGGGGAGACCATTTCTGTTGTCAAGAGTACCACAAAGAAAAATAAAGGCAGGAGTAAAGTAAAGGATGCTGTAAGGGGAAAGAACACTTAACGTTTGCTGGCGACTGGAATGAGAAGAGTCTGGTGAAAAGTTTGTCATCTCTTTGAACCTGACTTCCAGATGTATAGTCCTGATTATATCCTTGAGCTACATATAATGTGTCCAATTGCCTACTCAGCTTCTCCACCTGGATTTCTAGTATAAATCTCAAAATTAACATGTCCATAACAGAGGTCTTGATTCCAAGATTCCAGCAGAGCTCTTCATCTCCATCCCAACATGCTCCTTTCTTATATCCTCGTTAACTCATTTAAAATTACTACCATCCACCTTGATGCTCTGGCCCAAACCATGAAAACCAAAAAGCATACCACGCCATCGAGTTCGTTCTGACTCACAGTGACTCCATGTGGGGTCCTGGTGGGGCGCTGTGGGCTAATGCGCTGGACTGCAAAGTCAGATTGAACCGCAAAGTCAGCAGTTCAAGCTCACCAGCCACTCTTCAGAAACCCAATACAGGGTCACTATGGGTCGGAACTGACTCGATGGCACTTAACAACAAACAACAGTGATTCTATGTAGTAGGGGTGGGGAACGTCTGGCCCGTGAAATCACTTGGTCTGGTCCTGCCAAGGCAATTGCAGTTTCAGCTATCACAATGTTGTTAAGTTCCACTGAATTAGTTCCGACTCATAGCAACCCTGTATAGGATTTCTGAGGAGCAGCTGGTGAGTTTGAACCTCCAACCTTGCAGTTCAAACTGACTTTACAGTCCAGTGCCCACAGCACCACACCAAGACTCCACATAGTCACTGTGAGTCAAAATGGACTCGATGGCAGTGGTTTGTTTTTTGGTTTTCAAACAGACCTTGCAGTCCAGTGCTTTATGCTACACGCCCACACCATGACTTCTGCCATCACATTGTTGTTGTTAAGTGTCATTGAGTCACTTCTGACTCATAGTGATCCTGTGTAAGGTTGCCAAGGAGTAGCTGGTGAGTTTGAACTACGGACCCTGAGATTCAAGCACCACACCAGGGACTCCAGCCATCGCATTAGGTGTGAGTTATTAAATGGATGACCAAATAAAGCAGGCTAATTATTTACTTCATAATTTTGTGTATGGCCCATAAATGATGTTACAAATTATGGCAGAAAAACGGTCCCCCCTGCTATATAGGGTTTCTGAGATGGTAATTCTTTATGAAAGTGGGTTTAAACCACTGACCCTGCAGTTAGCAGCTCAATGTGTATCCTACAAAATTGCTTCTAAATCCCTGACAGTCACCCTTAATTTCCTCTTTAACTGCCTCCTCCAAATGTAATCCATTAGCAAGTTCTATCTCCAAACACAACCCCAAACTAATCTCTACTACCATCTTCATCCCTCCAATTCCCCTAAAAATAAAACCCAAATTCCTTTCCATGGCATACTAGGCCTGCATGACCTTCTACCCTGTGCATAACCTCCACCCTCTACAAGTTACATGGCCTACTTTAAAAAAATAACAAAACAAACAAACAAAAAACCCGAAGTTTGTTCCTATCTCAAAATTTAGATCTTAGCTGAACCTATTTAGATCTTTAGAAAGGCCTTTTCTGGCCTCCTTTAACAAAAATAGCCAACTGCCATCCCCAGTTAACTGCTAGCCCATTGTCTTATATATGATGAGGCTTTGAAAAGTTTGTGGAAAATTGATACTTTTCCACAATCTGACCGCAAGGGCCAGTGGCTCAAACTCACCAGCTGCTCCTTGGAAATCCTATATACAGGGTCCCTTTGAGTCAGAACCAACTTGACGGCGCTTAACAACAACAATATATACCCACTGAAAGTTAAAAGCAGCAGAAATGTCATTTAATTAATTATGACTATACCAAATAGTACATAATCGTTTAAAACGGCTTATGTTAATGTTATTTTTCCTGATCTGTTGTCACTAGCAGCTCCTAGATGGCTCTGTTCTAAAATTATTCCTCCTCCTACACTCTATCATATTTACCTCTCACTCTTCACAGTCTCATAAAGTGCAAAAGCTCTTTGAGGGACTCGGATTTTTAAACAGATACATTTGCATATTAATATGAAGGATTTTTTAACAACAGTGAAGAGCCAGTTTTCCACAAAGATGTATGTGTGTTAAGACTCAGGTGGGCTGGTTTCTGGTCCTGGTGAATCTTTTCTTTCTGCTTTATAAATTCCTTTTATTCAAACTTTTTAGAGAAAAAGGGTAGAAAAGACTGAGCACAAAATTTCCTAGTTTGCTCTGTAAACTCTTGATGATCCCTATCATCAGAGAATGTTTGTAGAAAGAGGTGCATTAACACTGATGGAAGGAAGAAAGTGCCATCAATATTCCCTGACTCTCTGACTCAACAGCACCAAGTCGTTCTGATTAGTTTGTAACATCAAGTACCTACCTCATCTAGCAGCTTTTTTTCTTTAAGAGACTGGGTCACCCCTAAAGAGATCAGAGAAAAGACCAGTCACACAGAGCAGAAGAACATGGTTTCTTCATGGAGTGGACAGTTCAGTGATTCATGTCAGACCATCAGAAGAATACCCTAAGCATAGAGGGCCTCTCTATAAAGCCATAGCTCTTTAATAAGGCCTGTGGTAGAGACTGCTTTCTGGAGACACAGACGATGCTTAATTTAAACATTATAAAATTGCCTGCTGCATATGGATTTCTGCCCACTAGTATATAAATCCCTAGTTCTTATGCTAACATTGCTAGGAGTATATTAGGTACTATTAGTTTCGAAAAGAAGTCCATTTTCCCAACATCACTAGCTTACCTGAACTAAGAGATATGCATTAAAGATAAAGTCGGTTTAGTGTTACCATTAAAGACCTTTTAGTAATTCAGAATTCATCAGCAGCAAAAACTTAGGTGTAAAAATGCAATTCTGAAGTGTTAAAGGGAGATGAGGAAAAACTATATTGTACTTACAGAAATAGCTAACTACCCATTTCCCTCCAGCAATTCCCAGAAAATACTTCAATGTCCGTTCACACACAAACTCAGTGTCTGCAGAAAGAAAAACATACAAAGAATTATTAGAAGTTGAATCAGGAAGTGCTTCTGTATCCAGCTCCTTGTGCTACTTAAGATCAATCTGGATGGATGATTCCAACACCCTTGGTTAACAGAATCAAAGGCTGGAAGCAACCCTAGATATGGATCTTTGGAAGCTTTGAAAAGGCTGATAGGAAATGAAGAGCAGAGGAAATGCCTGCCCTGTCTCCTAGATGCCAAGGCTAGTTAAAGGTCTCTGTCATCATGTTCAAAACATTACCCACGGAAGCAGTGGTAATATGAGAACGGTTCACTAAGATGATCTTTCTTAACTAGATGGTAATATGTGAAAGAAGTCAAAGTACTATTGAAATCCTAAATCTAAAATGTTAACGTAAGGAACACATTGTCACCTCCAGAATTTCCAGAGCTTTCCTTTTTCTACATAAGTATTTCAGAAGGCAGTAGCTGAGGAATCACTTCTGTTTATTTCCTAGTGTTTCAAAGGTCTCTTTGAAGAACTAAGCAAGCAGAGGAAAGAACACTTAGTTTTAAATAGGAGAAATGTATTTAAATCCTAAACACAGCAGGCCATCTGCCAATAGTGGCAGATACTCTTCCTCACAGAAGTCTTCACATTTTAATTTTAACTAAAAGTTTTTTAACTGCTGCAAAAGCTGATATAATAATACACTTTAAACTTAGAAATTTCAGCTCATTTTTATTTCAAACAAGCAAATGTTGTGTGTTCTTTGTTTAAAGATGAAATTACCTTAGGGATATTTGCATTTTAAATCTCTCTTCCTTTCATCTGCTTTGATCCAAACCTATAGCTTACAATATATTAAACTTTAAAGACATTCATTTCTTAAACAGCGCTCACTGCTTCCAGTGAGCACAGTCCTCTGACCCTGTGTTACAATTTTCATATAGCACATGGATTTCTGCCCAAGATCTTAAAGGTTCTTAAGGAATGTGTCTCGGTCCTGGGGTTTGGATTCACTGCTCAAGCACCTGTGGCCATGTGAACGAACAGGTGGAGTGGACCATTGTATTTCTGCGGAACTCATGATGTTAGAAAGGTTTGAAGAGCTGGGCCACAATCTACATACTACTCTTCACCTCACCATGAACTGGTCTTTGCTAAGCTTCCTGAAGCCTCGTTGTTGTTGTTCAATGCTATATATAGAGTCAGTTCCGACTCAGCGATCCTGTATAGGCTTTCTGAAGCTTTTAAAAAAATCTCTGCAGGAGCAGAAAGTCTCATCTTTCTCCCATGGAGCAGCTGGTGGGTTCAAGCCATGGACCTTGTGGTTCGCAGTCCAGTGCTTAGCAAATGAATCTAATTCCTCTTCCAGATAACAATTCTTTAGATACTTGAAGACAGTTATGTTTTCCCCTTATGTCTTCTCATTCTTATCTGTTCTTCAAATTATATCATTTTCAATTTCTTTTCTCCATTCTCACCCGCTGCCTATAGATGAACACTCTCCAGTTTGTCAGGGTCTGTGTTAAAAAGAAGCATGGCACTCAGAACAGGGCACTTCTTCCAGGCAGAGTTACTCCACAGAGAATTTACTTCACCTGCTCCAAAATTAGACTTGTATAGATGAGGTCCAATTTCATATGTTATGTTTTTGTTAGACACCATTGAGTTGGTTCCAATTCATAATGGCCCCATGTCCACCAGAATGAAAACACTGCCCAGTCCTGCACCATTCTCACAACCGTTGCTGTGTTTGAGCCCATCGTTACAGCTATTATGTCAGTCTGGTTGGGGATCTCTCTATACTTTACCAAGCATATCCTTCTCCAGGGACTGGTTCCTCCTGATAACATATCTGAAGTACATGAGGCCAAGTCTTGTCATGCTCACTTTTAAGGAGAATTCTGGCTGTACGTCTTAGAAGACAAAAGTGTTCATTCTTCAGGCAGTCCATTGCATATTTAATATTCTTTGCCAATACCATAACTCAAAGGCATCAATTCTTCTTCGGTCTTCCTTATTCACTGTCCAGTTTTTTGTATGTGTATGAGGTGAATGAAAATGCCATGGGTTGGGTCAGCTGCACTTCAGGGATCAGGTGACATCTTTGGTTCAAACTGACATCTCTGCTCTTGAACACTTATGACAACTTCAATCTTTTCTCCATTTATCATTTATTAGTCCAGTGGTGAGGATTTTTGTTTTCTTTACATTGAAAGCTATGGTCTTTGATCTTTATCAGTTAGTATCTAAAGTCCTCTTTGTTTCCAGCAAGCAAGGTTCTATCTATCATCTGCTTATTGCAGGTTGTTAATGAGTCTTCCGCCAATCTGATGCCATATTCTCCAGTTTGCAGACTGAATAAGTATGGTGAAAGAATACAATCCTGGTGCACACTTTTCCTGATTTTAAAACATTCAGTGTCTGTTCTGTTTGAATGACTGCCTCTTGGTTTACATACAGGTTCCTCAAGAGCAAGATTAAGTGTTCTGGAACACTCATTCTCTGCAATGTTGTCCATAGCTTGTCATGGGCCTAACAGTCAAAAGCCTTTGTGCAGTCAATAAAGCACAGGTAAACATCTTTCTAACATCCTCTGCTTTCAACCAAGATCCATCTTAAGTCAGCAATGAGATCCCTCATTCCACGTCCTTGTCTGGATCCGACTCGAACCTCTGGCAGTTCCCTGTCAGTGTACTGCTGCAGCTATTTTAACTTACCTTTAGCAAAAATTTATTTGCATGTGATATTTATAATAATTGTCTGATGATTTCTGTATTCCATTGGCTCATCTCTCTCTGGAATGGGCACAAATATGGATCTCTTTCAATCAGTTGGCCAGGTAGCTGTCTTCCAAATTTCTTGGCATAGATGAGTGAGTGCCTCCAGTGCTGCATCAGTTTGTTGAATGATTTCAATTTGTATTCCAGCAATTCCCAGAGCCTTGTTCTTTGCCAATGCCTTCAATGCACTTTGGATTTCTTCCTTCAATACCATTGGTTCTTGATCATATGCTATCTCTTGAAATAGTTGGATATCAACCATTTCTTTTTGGTACAGTGTCTGTGTATTCCTTCCATCTTCTTGTGATGCTTTCTACACCATTCAGTATTTTGCCCATAGAATCCTTCAATATTACAAGTTGAAGCTTGATTTTTTTTTTCTCCTTCAGTTCCCTCAGCTTCGGTAATGCTGAGCATGTTCTTCCCTTTTGGTTTTCTAACTCTAGGTCTTTGCATATTTCATTATAATATTTGATTTTGTCTTCTTGAGCTGCCCTTTGAAATTTTCTATTCAGCTTTTACCTCTTCATTTCTTCCATTTGCTTTAGTCTCTCTGAAAATAAGTTTCAGAGTCTCTTCTGACATTCACTTTGGTCTTTTCCTTCTTTCATGCCTTCTTAATGATATTCTGCCTTCTTCTTAAATGATGTTCTTGATGTCATCCCACATGTCTTCTGGACTTCAGTAAGTGCTTTAAATCCTCTTCCCTCCGGCAAGCAAGGTTTTATCATTTGCACATTGCAGGTTGTTAATGAGTTTTCTTCCAATCCTGATGTGTATCCTTCCTATAGTTCAACTTCTCAAATGATTCGCTCAACATACAGACTGCATAATATGGTGAAAGGATACAATTTTGATACACACTTTCAGATAAGACCCATCTGACATCAGCAATGGCATTCCTTGTTCCATGTTCTCCTCTGAATCTGGTTTGAATTTCAGGCAGTTCCCTGTCAATGTACTGCTGTAGGTATTTTTGAATTGTTTTCAGCAATTTTTCCTTGTGTGCAATATTAATGATATTGTTAGATAACTTCTGCATTCTGTTGTTATCATCTTTCTCTGGAATGGGTAAGTATAGACACAAAGCAAATTGTTATAATGAAATGTGCAAAGACCTAGAGTTAGAAAACCAAAACAGAAGAACATGCTCAGCATTTCTCAAGTAGAGAGAACCGAAGGAAAAATTAAAGCCTAGAGCTGCAATATTGAAGAATTCTTAGGGTAAAAAGTTAGCAGTTCAAACCATCGCTGCTCCTTGGAAACCCTATACATGGTTGCTGTGAGTCAGAATGGACTCGATGGCATTTAATAACAAGGGTAAAATATTGAATGATGCAGGAAGCATCAAAACAGGGTAGAAGGAATACAGAGACCAAAAACACACTGTACCAAAAAGAACTGGTCGGTATTCAACCATTTCAGGAGGCGGCATATGATCAAGAGCTGATGATATTTAAGGAAGAGTCCTAGCTGCACTGATTGGTGAAAAACAAGGCTCCAGGAAACAATGGAAAACCAATCGAGATGTTTCAACAAACAGATGCAATGCTGGAAGCACTTATTCATTTATGCCAAGAAGCCTGGAATCTTGCCCATTCACTGGACTGTTGTTAAGTGCTGTCGACTCAGTGCTGGACTCAGAGCGACTCCGTGATCCATATTTGTGCCCATTTGAAAGCAAGCAGCAATTTTGGCTGCCCTGAATTTTTTATTCAGATATGCCTTAAAGTCAACTCAAAAACCTCCCGGTGATCTCCTTTATCACACAACTTTACATTATCTTCTCCTTTTCTTCCTTTTTCACATGCTAGGTTATGTCAGGGGGTCCTGGTGTGGCGCTATAGGATTAGCACTGGACTACTACCACATGGTCAGTGGGCAAACCCACCAGCAGCTCCTCAAAAACCCTGTACAGGGTCTCTGTGAGTCAGAACTGACCGATGGCACTAACAACAGGCTATCTCAGAGTTAGTATCAGAGCTGGTTCCTGAAAAACTTCCCCAAACTCAGACTGGGTATTACATGAGAATCGATTTTGAGTGAAGACTCTCCCCTCTCCGCTGTAATTTTCTGGTTTCTTCAGGGTTCACACTCTAAATCTCACTAGAAACCCTTCACCCAGTTACTATAGTCCAGCTAGCATAAACCAGAAGAAATCGCTCATCTTTCTGGCTTGTTGTTATTAAGTGCCATCAAGTCAGTGCTGACTCATATCGACCCTGTACAGAGTTTCTACGGAGCAGGTGATGAGTTTGAACTGTTGACCTTGTGGTTCATAAACTGACTTTGAGGTTGGGTGTTTATTCTGTAGTGCCACACCAGGGCTTATCCTCCAAATATTAACCCAAAACAAAAGGGGGGCAGGAAGTAGTAACAAACTGTAATTATCCTCTCATGAAGTAACAACTAACTACTGAAAGACTATCATATATGCTATGCTTAATGTTATGGATTGAACTGTGCCTTCCCCCAAAGTATGTGCAATAAATCCTACTGTCTACGCCTATGGTTATACTCCCACTTGAGAACGGGCTGTGTTTGTTATTGGTACACTAGTGCAGTGGGTCTTGAGTCAACAGGGAAGATTAGGGAAGTAGAGATGTGGGAAGGGAGCTGCTGAGACCCATGAAGATGACCAGGAGAAGCAGCTCAGAGACAAGGACCTGTCTCCAGGGCTGACAGCAAGAGAAAGCCTTTTCCTAGAGCAGGGATGGGGAACGTCTGGTCCATGAAATCATTTGGCCATGCCCCGCTTAGGCAACTACAGTTCCAAGCATCACACTGTTGTTGTTGTTTAGTGCCACTGAATCAGTTTTGACTCATAGCAACCCTGTATAGTGTTTCTGAGGAGAGCTAGTGAGTGAACTGCTGACCTTGCAGTTCAAACCGATGAGTGCTTATCCTATGTCGCCACATTAGGATGTTGTTGTTAAGTGCCGTCGAGTCGGTTCTGATCCATAGTGACCCTGAACAGGGTTTCCGAGGCTGTATATCTTTACGGGAGCAGAAAGCCTCATCTTTCTCCCGCAGAGCAGCTGGTAGTTTTGAACTGCTGACCTTGCAGTTTGCAGCCCGATTCGTAACCACTACGCTACGGTGAGTTAATTAAATGTTTGACCAAACAAAGTAGGTTAATTTTTAAGCGGATCATTTTGTATGGCCTTCCAATAATGTTATAAATTTTGGAAGAAAAAAGTTCCCCACCCATATCCTAGACTTCCTAAAATGAATTCCTGTTTGTTAATGTCACTCATTTGTGGTACTTTTATTATAGCAGCACTAGATAGCTAAGACACTTATCAAATATTTCTATTTCTTCATGCAATTTATGTAGCAGATTCAACCCATTTTGTTTTCAACTTTGTGGCATACCTGTTTTCATAATAACATGAGTAGTCTCTTCAGTAATTTGATTAGTTAAAGTGCAGTGGTGTTTTCTGGCAAACTTGTGCACAAGCATCTGAAATCAAATACATATTGCAATGTAATAAATTATTTCATGAACACAGTTTAATTATCCTAGCTTGGAGTCTCCCTTTTTTCTCAGAAAAAGCGTATCAAATTTTATTCTAACAGGGCTTAAGTCTCAAACCAATAGTGGTGATAGTAGTTGTCGGTTCTGACTCATAGCACCCCTGTATAGGGTTTCCCAGGCTATAAATCTTAAGGGCGCAGACAGCCTCATTTTAATTCTGCAGAGCGGCTGGTAGAGTCAAACTGCTGGGATTACGGTTAATCAGCTCAACTGGTAACCCACTATGCTACCAGGGCTCCTTCAAAATAATAGTAAGTCAATAAAAATTACGCACAGAGTCAGAAATACCAAAATAGTTTAGGCTAACAGAAGTGGGATTATAAGCAAGATGCAAAATAATATTAATTTTTCCTTTAACAGTATGTGTCATTTGACTCCCTTGGACATTTTCTTTGTGTAGTGATACTCCGCTATACTGTAATTTTGATTTATCAGCCTACTCTATAAACTGAGAAGCAGCTAGCCTGTATAGTTACATTACAGATATATGCGGCTTAGAAGCAAAATCTCACCCTCTGATAGTTACATAACATTCAAGTCAAGATGCTTTTAAAGGTCAGGACAAAAACTACCAATTGCACCTTAAGGAAAAAGACTGGAAGAGGTTTATATTCTTCTCAAAAGAAATCTGGAGCCTTCTAGTTATTATCTATCAACCAAATAAAAATCAATAGGCAGTAAAAGAAATTAACCAAATCCATTATGGGTACAGTTGACATAATTGGTAGCTACTGTTTGGTAAAGAACTTTGTTTACTAAAGGCCATCATTTACTGGCCATCACCACCCACGCCAATAGTTATGTGGTCCACAATACTGCAACAGAGGTCAGGCCATCTTTCTTTCATGCTGCCGCATTCCGTATGGCCACGGGGCACTGACGAAGGCAGCCTAGAGAAGCTAATGACATCCTTCCCCCCTTTACCACTGCCCTCTCCAGGATCATTAGCAATTCTGAACTGATTAATTGCTGAAATCCCGGCCTTGAAACAGTGTTCAGTTAGAAGAGGAACTGCTGAAAAGATCATCTTAATATGGGCTTCAGAATTAATCATGTGTAATACAGTCAGCAGCTTTCATCATAAATTTAGCACACTTCAACAAGTCTGAATAGAGCTCAAAAGTTTTTCTTTTTGCTTGTTTAAAGACAATATGCACCCAAGCCAGTTACAGTCTAATCTGAAGCTCAGAATTGCCCATGGCAAGAATGATCAGACAATTTTAACTATCTCTGAAAAGTGTAACTCTCAAAAGAATAAGAATGCTAATTTTCAGTAACTAAAAGCATTCTATGTGTACACAAGTGATCAACAGCAAAATAAACAGACACAGGTCTGAACTTTCAGGGCAAATAGTGGTCCTGGCACATGGTTGGGGCATGAGCATTGCAGCAGTTATTACCCTGCACTAATTCACTATAACAACTAGGGCAAACCCATTTACGTTGCCCTTTTAGTAATGGGACTCATTTGGCCACATGGAAAATGGTATGCTGAGTCACTAACTATGGAGAAGTTAGAGTGAGAAACGGTTCTTATCCTAGGAAGGATACATTAAGGGAGATAGTTAAGAATGACTAAGTGTTATTTCTCAGTATGCAGTAAGTTACCTACTATAAAAATCCATTTGATATTCTAGTGTGTTAGCTTACTATGGTTTTAAAGAGATATTCACTCAATAACTTTAATTTGAAGTGATGCCAATGCTGACTAACCACAGGGGAGGTAAATGTTCCAGGATGTGTGAACAAGGTTGCAGTGGTCTTAATATTTCTATGAGTATTTTTCCACAGTGTGAAACAGTTTCCATTTATGACATCAAGAGCCCAATAAAGTGCCAAAATTCTAACAGCAAGGGGTGTTGCAGGGAAGAAATGTTAGGCCAGGCTCTTGAATAACTGTGTTCCAAGCCAGAAATGAAGACAAATAAATACTGAAGAAATGCCACTGTCTGGCAGTATGCGGGAACCAATTAGGATTTAATTAATCAGCTGTGAACCAAGGCGGGGGCAGGAGGAAAGGTGCTTTCTGAGGCGTAGTACTCACCTTTTTTAGGTACAAAAAAATCCAAATTCAACAGCTCTATATCATACTTGAAATTATAAGCTTTCTAATAATTATTTTCTCAAATAGATACAGTATCTTTTAATTCCATTTTTTCATGAACTTTTTGAAGCTCCCTCATATATACCAAATAATCCATGTTATAAGCTTTACCTAGGTCCACATTTTCAGGTGTTACCAGTGGGAGTAAAATTACAGGAAATTGTGCCTGTCCCCTAGATTTCTTCCTATAGAATATTCATTCCTATTGTATAGTATCTATTTGCGATACGGAGTCCTGGTGTGGTGGTGCAGGTTATTAATGTGTTGGACTGCAAGGTCGGTTTGAACCACAAGGTCGGTGGTTCAAGCTGACCAGTCACTCCTTGTAAACTCTATCCAGGGTTGCTATGAGTCAGAACTGACTCGATGGCACTTAACAACACCATATGAGATACAGTGTCAGTCACTAGGGAGATACGGATAAGATAGACTTACAAATTCTTTTTGAGTCAAGCCTGATGCCACCATGGATATTCTTTTGTTGACCATTTCTGTCGAAGATAGCGCTCCTGGCTTCTTCCTGCTCACGCTTTCTTCCCTCACATCGTTCCTAGCAGGATTTGTAGTATGAGTATCTGCTGAACTGTTGGCAGATTCTACAACTTGCAACTGGGGTAACTTCAATGCAGACGATGAACTTGGCATGCTGCAAACATCAGTCGGGTCTGGGGCTCTGTCTTCAGATGGATCAGATTCAGGATTATCAGAGAAGAGGCTGACTCCAGATTCTAGACAAGGGGTCCTCTCTGAAAGGAAGGCGGGAAGAAATTTAATCTGTATGGTAATGAATCTTGATTACCTTCTAGTCTCTGCCAAAAATTTAAAAAGACAGAATAAATTAGATTAAGAGAAAAGTGGCTACATTAATCCACTGTTTATGGAAGTGGAAAGTGGTTCAACTTTTCTAAGGGACAATTTAGCATTATGTAGCAAAAGTATTAACAAGCATATACATTTTAAGTCAGTAATCCCAGTTTTAGAAATGTATCCCCCCTGCAAATAAAAGAATGTACATGCATGCAAAGGTTAGTCATAGGGAATTTCACTACAATGGTATTTATAGTCAGAAAACTTTAGAAACTGTCAAAACATCCAAGGTTGTTGTTGTTGTTAAGTGCCTTCCAGTTGGTTCCAACTCATAGTGACCCTATACGGGGTTTCTGAGGCTGTAAATTTTCACAGGAGCAGAAAGCCTCATCTTTCTCCCATGGAGTGGCTGGCGGGCTTGAACCATGGCCCTTGTGGCTCACAGTCCGGTGCTGATTGTATGGAGTAACCACACTCCCCAAACATTCAATAAGAGAGACTAAATAAATCATGGAACATCTATTTCAATAAAATACTTATCACTAATTAGAGTTTGAACATAAATGCTGATTTATAATAAAATGGAAAAATGTCCTTAATATATTAAAGAAAATAGCTACAAAATATTATTGTGATTCTAGTTAAAAAACAAAACAAAACACCTTTAAGTAAAATGACTAAAAAAGTATTATCACTAAGTGACAAGAATGTAAGTAACTAAATATTCCTTCTTTTTATTATCTATGTTCTCTAATTTTTTGGCAATAAACAATAGTACTTCCATGAAAATGAAATGCTCTATTTTTGTTTCTTCATCTATGATACCATTATCCTTTTCACTTAATAAATCATCAGATATCATTACCAAATTAAAAACAGCAGAGGACATCCCTGAAACATTCCAGAAAATGTCACTTCATCAGGTGCTTGACTACTAACCATGAGGTCAGCAGTTCAAATCCAGTAGCCACTCCTTGGAAACCCTATACAGGCTCACCATGACTCGACAGCACTTAACAATCCTGGGAATATCTCAGAAAATGTCACTCCATCAGGAAGTAAGCATAGCTAGCTAAGTACAATGTATAAAGTTACTAAAATGACCCCAGTGAACATGACCAAATATCACATTTAGAAGCCATACAGCACCTTTTATGATAATGTGTTTTTGAGGATTGATTTAAAACTTGCTTTACTGACTAAAATTTTGATTTACAAGCCATAAAACACACTACTCATTAAAAGTGATTTATAAGGAATAAAATATACAATCATTTATTATTCATTAATTCATAAAAGAAGAACTTGCTTTGGAGAGCTGACTCATTTTTCAATAAAGGACAGGCCTTTATTGAAAGCTTAATTCTAGGGCCCTTTTATTCTTGTCTTAGGTGTTGGGCTGCTAACTGAAAGGTCAGCAGTTCGAGTCCTCTAGCTATCCATGGAGACAGATGAAGCGGTCTGCACCTGGACAGATTTATAGCTCCAGGAATCCTACACAGCAGTTTTACTCTGCCCAGCACCGTCGTGGACTTGGTGGGCTTTACTCTAGTCTAACAGTTTGGAGTGTACCAAGATTCTCCTGTTCTCAAAACTGTTAGATGTATTGACCCAATAAGGACAATTCATGGCTGCAATAATTTTCAAGCAAACTTGGATTCACATTCAAGTTATTTCTATAAAAAATGGGCTTAACTATCACAGATACATTCATAATAGACCTGGACATTGAAGACTGATGAACTAGAAGAGCTTTACATAGGATTCAGAGTAAAGTAAGTGTTTCCTCTATCAGAGCAGATGAAACATTACCTAGATCTTGCCTTGGCAAATAAGACTGCTCAACGAAACCACATGCCTCAGGCTTTTCCAGCTGTTGCTCCTCCACATCCACAGTTTTAACAAGCGCCTCCTGAGACTGGCAGTTTCCATTCTGAAGACTTCTTGAATGGCTGCGCACATTGCACCTGTTTTCTACCAGGAATTTTGAAGACCTAGAAAGATGAAGGAAGGAGAAAACCATCACAATAGCTTGAGAAAGGATTAACCAGGCCACCAAAGTATAATCAAAACAGCTCACATTCCGAGAGACATCAGGAATAATCAGTAAAAAGGAGCCAACATGATGGCCTCAGAGTATCTGGATTCACGGTGCTTGCCAAAGTATCAGGGTTAACATCAAATGGCTTCCCTTAGGGGCTGATCTGAGGTAGTCTGTCTTCTAACTCTTTTAAAGCATGTCAGCAGATTTCACCAAATTACCCACTGCCATTCACTGAAATTCTATACACTATTCCACTTGAGTCCAAATGGATGTGCTAACCGCAGATCTCTCATGAAAATAGAAAGCTGATTAATTCTAACATTTCTACACTCATACTTTCTATGCAATTTTAGCAAAATTCATAGAATTATCCCATTTCCTGCCCTTTAAATGTTCAAAGTCATTCCCAAAACAAAGCCAGTTATAAAATATTAAGTCAAAAGAGTAGCTTCAGCTAGTAAATAATTCCTCTACTCTTTCAAGTGTTTAGGACTTTGTGGGGAAAAAAACACTCATCAACAGATGATAAGGTACTCAGAGGTTGATTAAGTCAAACAATGATTGGGTGCATACTATAAACCAGTCACTAGCAAGGCCCAGTAGATTGAATTGCTGCTCTTAAACAGGCTAGTAGAGGGAGGATGTTCAATCAATGTGTAGGTTCTGTGATAGAAATCTTTATAGGGTACATTCTGTGTGGGGTGTGGGGGACAGGAAGTGGTTAGCTCAACTAAAGCATGGCAATGTGGCTATTTCCCCTAAACATGGGCTTAGTGCCTATGGAAGCTCAATCTTTTCATTTGTTGTGACAGTCAGAATGCCAGTATACCAACAGCCTAAAAAGATATCTCCTCAGTCCATCAAGGGGCTTGGAAAAGACAGTGTGATTAGATCATTGCTAGTCTGTCACCATTCCCAGAAAGATGAAAAAAAAAAAAAAAGCAATTACTAGCACTCAATACATATAACTTCCTTTTCCTTCTTTTTAATTGTTTTCCTTTTCCTTCTTAAGAGTGGTGAGATATAAAACCATAGAGCTCTGCATCTCTTTTTCCTGAACTATCAAAGAGGAAGAGTTTAGAGTGTGCACTTTTATTTTCATGGTAATGTAAAGAGCAAAAGAAGATGTAGATAAAGTACTTTTGGAAATACCTAGCATTACGGAATCTAATATCAATAGGGATTTGAATGCTGTTGTGCTATTGAGATGGTTCTGACTCATAGCAGACCTGTATAGGGTTTCCAAGGAACAGCTGGTGGGTTGGAACTGCTGACCTGTGGTTAGCAGTTCTGTGCTTATCTTATAGCACCATACCAAGACTCCATAGTGATTTTTTTCTTGGACTCCACAGTGATTTGAATAGCCATTCCTAAAAGATATTCTGAATATCTTTTGGGGTCAACTGTTACACTTTTTCTATAAAGTAAAAAAAAGGCAATTAGGGGAAGCATTCCTGGGAAACATCTACCATCAAGCTCTAGGTTTGTTTAAGTTTTATTTCTATAATATTTTATTCTGATTTTCAGAAAGGATAGCTCTAACTGCATTTCTCATACTGTAGCATATGTTTGGAGTCCTGGTGTGGCGCTGTGGGTTAATGCGCCAGACTGTAAAACTGTTTGAATTGCAAGGTTGGTGGTTCAAGCTCACCAGCTGCTCCTTGGAAACCCTATGCAGGTTCACTATGGATCAGCACCGACTCTAAGGCACTTCACAAGAACAACAAGCATATATTTTGGTACTGAAAAGACCCCCAAAAAGCCTAGATACAATGCAGCAAAAGAAGTGTACTAAAGCAATGAGAGGTTAATGTTTGTGTGCCAAGAGCTAGGGAAGTAGGGGAGAAAGACCCAAAGGAGTTCAGTATAAGTGAAGCTGTTACTTAGCTACTACTTAATGTTTCTTACCTTTCCATTGCTGGTTCTTTATTTGGACTGGTGGAACCATCTGGAGATACTGGGAACTTATTAGCAGAAAGGCTTTCTGGATTCTTACTTATAGGCTGTTCTTCACTTTTCTCTGAAGTTAGCATGGATCCTTTAAATGGAATGAGAAAAAAACAGAGATCTACTTTACTGCTTTGTCTGGATGGTGAGAATTCAGGTGAGGATATCAACTTTTTCAAATGCTGCAATCTGTGACAATAAAACTGGTTTTTAAGCAAGTATATCAGACAGGATTTTATACACACAAGAGATGCAACAGGCAGATGCTAGTGCCAAATGGAGCTAAATGATTAAAAGAATGACAATAAAAGGAACACTTTAAGACTGAGCAAACAGAAACATCCAGCTGAGACAAGGGTGAACAAACCATACACACACACACACACACACACATATATATATACTGGTCTTGAATGATAAGAAAACAAGAATAGGGAACTGTTATCTGCAACAAGCTAAATTATGCTCAAATCTCCTTAGATAATGGAATGGAAACATACTTCCTTTCTATCCCTACTGCCTCCACATCAAAGAAATAGGATTGGGGTTTGAGCTTTTGCATGTGTGGGAAAATAGGAGAGGGAATCAGGTGAGAAAGAAAAAAAGGTGACATTTTGCTTCACATTTTCAGTTACTAACCAACAAACCACCAAACACACACACACACACACACACACACACACACACACACCCCATGGCACTGACTGATAAGGATCTTGAAGTAACACATGGAATTAATGAAATGGCACAAGAAAGGAAAAAAATCCCCTACCAAACAGACCTAAGGCCAAGTTCTGACATGGCAAATACATCCTTTTTATTTATTTATTCCTCCAAATGTATTATTGTACCAGTGCCTCCTAGGAACTGGCTTAAAAGCTTGAAATATTTAAAAAGCAAAAACAAACACTTAAAAAAAATTACAAATGTTTGCTATCCATTAAAAAGCCATTACTGGTGATCTTAGTTCCCTATTGCTGCTATAACAAAATACCACATGTGGGTGGCTTTAACAGAGATTTAGTTTCTGTTTGTTGTTGTTGTTAAATGCCAGCAAGCAAGTCGGTTCCAACACACAGCAATACTGTATAAGGTTGCCAAAGAGCAACTGGTGGATTTGAACCGCCAACCTTGAGGTTAGCAGTCCAGTGCTTGTCCTATAGTACCACACCAGAATTCTGTTTCAGAAGTTAACAGTTGGAATTCAGAGTGCGGGTTCTAGGGGAAGGCTTTCTCTCTCTGTTGGCTCTGGAGAAAGGTCCTTATCTTCTCTGAGTTTCTACTCCTGGGCAATCTTCACTGACTTGGCATCTTCCCCCATTTCTTCTTCCTTTTCCTGGCTTCCTTGTTTAATCTTTTAATCTCAAAATCTCTTCTTCAGGTGATCTGTAAATTCAGGTGAGATATGTTTAAGGTCCTATTTTGGTGCTTGTGGACTTGTTTTAATATTCTTCAGCTTCGGCTTGAATTGAAGGAACACTGAATGGTTTAAAACTAGGAAAGGTGTGTGCCAGGGTTTTTTTCTTTCACCATATTTATTCAATATGTATGCTGAGCACATAATCTGTCTGAGAAGATGGGTTATATGAAGAAGATGTAGCATCAGGATTGGAGGAAGACTCATTAATAATAACCTGTGATTTGCAGATGATACAACTTTGCTTGCTGAAAGTGAAGAGGACTTAAAATACATACTGTCTTCAATATGGGTTGTACCTCAATGTAAAGAAAACAAAAATCCTCATACTGGGCCAATAAATAGCATTGAGATAAAAGACTGAAGTTGTCAAAGACTTCATATGGCTCAGATCAACCACCAACACTTATGGAAGTAAGAATCAAAGGAAGTACTAAATTAGGCAAATCTGCTGCAAAAGACCTTTTTAAAGTGTTCAAGAACAAAGATATCAGTTTGAGGAGCAAGGTGTGCCTGACCTAAGCCATGGTATTTTCAATAACCTCATATGCAAGAAAAAGTTGGACAGTGAATAAGGAAGATTAGAAGAACTAACGCATTTGAGTTCTGGTGTTGGAGGAGAATATTAAAAGTACCATGGACTGCTAAAAGAACAAACCACTCTGTGCTGGAAGAAGTACAGCAAGAATGATCCTTGGAAGCCAGGATGGGGAGACTCTGTCTATCATACTTTGGCCATATTATCAGGAGAAGGACATTACAGTTGGTAAAGTGAAGGGTCAGAAAAAAAGAGGAAGATCCCCAATGAGATGAACTGGCAGAGTGGCAGCAGCAATGGGCTCAAGCATAGCAATGACTGTGAGGTTGGTGAAGGACTGAGCAGTGTTTGTTCTGTTGTGCACAAGGTAGCTATGAGTCAGCACTGACATCTCATTAAGAGACTGATTTTTAATACGCCCAGTGCTAATCCTACCTTGTTAACAGAGCAAAGACAACCCATTCCCAATAGGGATTACAACCACAGGCAGAAAGGTTAGGGTTTACAACACTTTCTGGGAGGACACAAGTCAATTCAGAACAACGACTACAATTCATTTTGAGCTTTTATCAGAAAAGCTAAAATCTATAAATTCAGGCAGAAAAACTTAAACAAAGGGCTGGATTAATTAAATAGTTTTTTAAAGACATTGGGTAGCCTGGGAGGAAATAATCATTGATTTCTTGAGTTAATCCTCAGATGCATTATTTATAGTCTCCTTAATGCTTGCCTTTTTAGGACCTGTGAATTTCTAGGAATACAAGGAGAATTTAGCCTGGAGCTACCAGCTGCTAAAATCAAGCAGAGTCTTAACCATGAACCAGTAAGGTTTTCTTTCAGCTGGGTATGCAGAGCTTTTAAATATTAAGTATCAGTGTTCCCTAAATATAACTAATGAAAGGTAATATGCAGCCTCCCAAGAACCACTCCAAACAGAATTAGCCATTGCAAAGGGTTTGAGAAAAAAAAGTGAAGCGGGAGGGCCTTTAGCAACCTTCAGATACAAGCACAGCTATCAAAAAGTCATTCACGTGAACATTTAGCACATGAAATCCGTTTTTCATTACAATGAGTCTCAAGTTACAAAGTAAAAAAAGTTCCAAGAGTCACTAACTCAATAGCACCTAAAACACACACACCAAACTTTTTCTGTTCTTTTCCCTTAATCCTGACTTTATTCTCTGCACAGCTAGTCCAAGTATCAGAACAGTACTTGCTGCTGTTAAGAACAGTTAACCCTTTCCCTCTTTTGTGGGTCTTAACATGGATAGAGAATCTATGCCAAAGCAAACATTTAATAAATTTGAACTATTACGTGTGGTACTGTAAGATAAGCACTGGACCACAAGGTCAGCAGTTCAAACTCACCAAACTCCTTGGAAACCCTATGATTCAGAACCAACTTGATGGTATTTAACAACAATTATGTGCTAGATGACCCCTAGTGGTTAAGTGCTTGGCTACTTAACTGACAGGCTGGAGGATTGAATACCAGCTGCTCCATGGGAAAACTTTGTGGCAGTGGCTTCAGTAAAGGTTTACAACCTTGGCAACCCTATGTGGCAGTTCTAGTCTGTGCTACGGCTCACTGTGAGTTCAAATTGACTTGAGGATAATGGGTTTGATTTGGGGTTCTATGTGCTAAATACCATGTCACAGATTGGCAAAAATTGAGCAAAAGATATTGAGGAAGAAGGAAAGAGATCTATATTAAGAAATGGTAAATTATAAAATATAGAGTCCATAATAAAATGCAGGCTTAAAAGTATATAGCCTGTAACAACAAAAGCACAAACAGCAAAAGACAAAATAAACAAACAGGGCCTTATAAAAATAAAACACTAATTCAGCCAAAGATTTCACCAAAAAAGTGAAGACAAACCATAGATTAGAACAGTATCTTCAGAAACCAAAAAAATATGTAAAACATAGATAACTTTAAAAAAGACCACCCAATCATAAAATGGGCAAAGGCATTTCACCACTGAGGACATTGAAATAGCTATCAAACATGAAACGATGCTCTGTGCTGTTAGTTATCAGTGAGATGCAAATCCAAATCACAATCAGATACCATTTCACTTCCACTAGGACTCTGGGTGTGGCGCTGTAGGAGAAGCACTGGACTGCCAACGGTAAGGTTGGTGGTTCAAACCCACCAGTTACTCCCTGGAAACCCTATCCAGGGTTATTGTAAGTAGGAACGAATTCAATGGCACTTAACAACAATAGGATGGCTAGATTTATAAAACAAAACAGAAAAAAAGTAAGAATTGGTATAAGAATGTGGGAAAACTGGAACCCTTACCCATTGCTGGTGGGAAGGCAAAATGGTAACAACTGTTGTGGAAAACAGTGTGGCGGTCACTAAAAAACAGAACAAAACAAAAAAAAATGGAAATACCGTACGACTCAGCAATTCCACTCCCAGGTGTATGTCTACCCTAAAGACTTGAAAGCAGAGACTTAAAACGAGATGCAGACCAACATCTACGTAGTTCTAGTCACACTATCCAAAAGGTGGACACAACCTAAATACCCAACAAATGAAGAGATAAACACAACACAGTACATATTCATCCATACAATAGAACTCTTCTCAGCCAGTACGAGAAATAGTCTTAATACATACTCAGACATTATGTCAAGCAAAATAAGTCAACCACAAAAGGTATGTAGTATTATGTGAGTTCACTTATATAAAACTACTAGAGAAGGCCACTGTATAGAGAACAAAGTTTATCAGTGGTTAGCAAGGGTGAAAGGAAGGTAGAAAAAGGGGGCTGATAGTGCTGGAGAAATTGCAATGATTAATAGTAGGGTTTTTTACAATAATTTACAGAAATTGTTATAATTTCTATAAATAAGTTGCTGTAAAAAGTTGAATTGACAAAAATGACAACAGAAAAATTAATAAGAAATAGTAGCTGCTGAGACTGCTTATGTACAACTAAATACCTCATGGGATTTGGTTCCTTGATTTGGAAGTTGAGGGTTATGGTTTAATGAGACATTCCAGTTATGGTCCAATAATGTGTTTACTGCTTCTGTTCTGCCTCCTATTGCACTGTTGTTGTTGTTGTTATGTGCCGTGGAGTTGGTTCCGACTCACAGCGACCCTGTACAGGGTTTTCGA